CAACTGCGTTTTCCACCCTGTCCTGTTCTATCCTCATCCCATCCCAATCCTGTCCCCACACCCCAAATGAACCCAAATCCTGTCCCCTCCACTCACGTTCCTGTCCCCACCCCAGTCCCATCCCAATCCCACCCTCATCCCAACCTTAATCTGAATCCCAATCCCACTGTGAATCCCATGCTCTCTCACTCCCATCCCCATCCCAATCCTGTCCCCTCCTCAGTCTCAATCATAATCCCAATCATAATCCCAAAATGGATCCCATCCCCATCCCATTCCCTGCTCCTTAACCCCCTCCCCACCCTCAGATCTCCCCAAATCCCACCGGATCTCACCCTTTCCAAGCGCTGGGAACCAACCCCCCTTAACCCCAAATCCTGCTGCTCTCCCACCACTTTCCCTTCCCTTCCCTCGCCTGCCCTTTTGAAACCCCAAATTCCAACATTCCCTCCTGGGAATCGGCACTTTGGGAACACCCCCCAAATCCTGCAGCCGAATCGGGGTGTTGGGGGTCCCTCCACGGGGTCACCCCCTCCCCCTTCCCCCCTGCACTCCCCAAAATCCTCACTTCAGGGTTTTTTCCACCCCATTTTTAGTTCTTAGGGGGGTATTTTCCATCCCAGCCTCCCATTTATTTGCATTTGGGGTCGGATTCTTCCCCCATTCCCTCGAAAAACGCCGGATTAAACCCGTCGGGCAGAGTTTGGAGAGACTTTAATTTTAAAGAACTTCAATCTATGTATAAAAAAAAGTGAATTCTCCCTTTTCTTTTTTTACCCCAACCCCCCAAACTAAGCCCAAAAACCACGGGGGGAAGGGTTGTGGGGTGGAGGCCGAGACGCTGCTTGTTTTTTCCCAGCGATTTTTGGGATTTTCCTGACATTGTTTTCCAGCTCTCCGGGCCGGATCCCGCCCGGCCCTGAACCGCCCATGGGAAACGCTTCATTTCAGGGGGATTTTCCCCTTTTCGGGGGGTTTGGTTTTTAATCCCCTCCACCCGCGCCCCTCTGTCAGTGTTTTTTTGGGGGCTCCCACCAGGACCCGGCCCCGGAGCGTCAGCCGGACGCTCGGCATGGGAAAAACCCCAAACCTCTTGGGTTTCCCTTTTTTTAGCTTTTCTTCCCTCCGTTTAAACTTTTCCCTCCTATATTTTAGTCCCCGGGCCCATTTTAGCTCCCCCTCCCCCCATTTTTAGCTTCTCCCCCACCTTTTTAACCCCCCTCCCACTTATTTCAACTTTTCCCCTCTTAGTTTAACTTTTCCCCCTTCGCTTCAACTTTCCCACCCTA